CCCCCTCTTCCCCTTTTCTGCCTTCTAAGAAATGGAAGTGGGGCAGGCAAGGTCTGGGCCCTTTTCTTCCAGGGAATGATGACAGGGGATTGCACAATGAACCCGCCGTCTGGAGGCCTCGGCTATTTTCAGAATTAACACTGCAGCTGTTAACGGGAGCAAAATCATAATAATCACATTTAAGGTGTTGATGATGATCCTTCAACCCTCCAAGGTGGTTCTTCTCCTGCAGGAATTGAATCAACCTTCTCCAGCCAAAAAGCCTTATTTACAGATGGAAAATGAAGATAGTTGGAGATTCTCTCTTTACTTGCCATGAGTTCAGATTCCCAGGACTAGATGAATCGCACCCAGGGCTACAGGTGGGACCTGCAGATGGCCTGTCTAGACTTCTAATATCAACAGATGAAGCACCAGATGTTTAGGGGAGACCGGACGTTGTCTTGGCCTTCAAGAAGGGGAAGATCCAGCGAGGGACTGATCTTTTACTGATATCTGGAAAAGATTTCAAGCAGATGCTCGCAATCTCGGTGAGCATCTTGAAAAAACAGGTTGTGGTCTTCAGCAGAAGTCGACACAAGCTTCTAAGAACGAATCTCACCAGAGACACCTTATCTTGTCCCGGTCGCCTTATCTTGTGTTCAGATGGCTTTCAAGACACAGTGTGTGATCATCTGGAGATTAATCTTGCTTTTGGCGGAGAAGTCTTCGAAATACCTCATGACTTCCTGGTTGGGAAGGAACTTCAACACAAGTTCTTGGGGACCTGACAATCTTGCAATTCAATTGCAAAATGCAATTCAGAAGCGCGCTGGTCACATCGTGGCAATTCTGCAAATCGGCCCTGTGTCCGTCCACTTGCCACAGATGCTGAGTGGCCCGTTGGAGTCCCTTCTTGAGATTCCTCTCTTGGGAGAGACTTGCAAGACTGGTGCCATCTCCATAACTTCTCCATAAATGACTTAGAGGAGGGGATAGATGGGGAACTCATCAAATTTGCAGACAACACCAGGCTGGCAGGAGTAGCCAACGCTACAAAAGACAAGCTCAGGATCCCAAAGGATTTGAACAATGGGCCCTATCTAGTAAAATGAAATTCTGTGGTGGGAAAAGTAAGGTTTTACACTTAGGCAAGAAAAACCACATGCACAGGTACGGATTAGGTACAGAAACCTTGCACAATAGTAGCAACTGTGAGAGGGACCTCGGAGTCCTAGTGGACAATCCCTTAAATATGAGCCAGCCGTGTGCTGCAGCTGCCAAAAAGGCCAACACGGTGCTGGGCTGCATTAACAGAGGGAGAGAATCAAGATCACGTGAAGTGTTAATACCACTTTACAATGCCTTGGTAAGGCCACACTTGGAATACTGCATCCAGTTTTGGTCACCACGATGTAAAAAAGATGCTGAGACTCTAGAAAGAGTGCAGAGAAGAGCAACAAAGATGATTAGGGGACTGGAGGCTAAAGCATATAAGGAACGGTTGCTGGAATTGTCTAGTCTAACGTAGAGAAGGACAAGGGGGGACAGGATAGCAGTGTTCCAATATCTCAGGGGATGCCACAAAGAAGAGGGGATCAAAGTATTCTGAGGGGTCCCTGATGCTCTCTGAACCTGATTGTTTTCTTGCAGACGTTTCATGACCCAAACTGATGATGTTACCTAGTTTGGGTCATGAAACATTTTCCAAAAAAGCAACCTTGCTCAGAGAGCACCAGGGACACCCCCACCCTCATTTCAGCTACAAATATTTTCCTTTACTGGTTGACTTATTCTCCAGAGCATTTGAGGAACTGGATGGTGCCCTCCTAGGGGGTCTCCGTGGGATCCAACACAGGAGATCCCATGCAAATTGGAGCAGTCAAGAGATCCCCGGCTTCAGGAGAGAAGCAAAGAATCGGGGATCCTGATTTTACTGAGCGATAGGAGAGTCATACCCATAAAAGTGCTGGTGTCAGACATAGCAACAAAAGGCAGAACTTGCAAGTCAACACAGCGTGTAGTCAACAGTTGCCCAATTTGCTGACTTGCTGTGGTTTTCTACAAAATTTTCGATTTCTACAAGAAATTCCAAGAAACTACGCTTGGATTTTAGCAGTTGGCGACTAAGCAAATCAAAATAAAAGAATTATAACGGAATAACAAAGTTGGGAGCACTTTGGAGATCTTCTAGTCCAGCCCCCTGAGACAGATTCCCGATGGAGGAGCAGCTGTCACCTGAACTGGAGAAGATAATTGAGGAAACACCTGGTGTTACCTTGGGGAGTTACCAGGAGGAGAGGTGGGGGTGACACTTACATTTTGTTCTCACAGCCCACAATCTGTTTCCCCTGGGAAGGGGAGGGTGAATCTGAAGGGAGGGTGATGTAACGGTGTGTGGGAAAGACCTTGAGGGAGAGGGGTGGGACTGATGCTGCCTGTGGGACCATTAGATAAGAGAAGGGGTAGCCCTCCCCCCCCAGCTGCACAACAGGCAGAGAAAGAAACTCCGGAGGGATCATCCCTGACTTATCAGGCTGTAAAAAGAGACGGTGGGAGCTTTGTACTTTCAGACTTGCAAGATTCTCTTAACGAAGCCTTAGAACAGGGGTTCTCAACCTTGGCAACTTTAAGACTTGTGGACTTCAACTCCCAGAATTCCTCAGCCAGCTTTGCTGGCTGAGGAATTCTGGGAGTTGAAGTCCACAAGTCTTAAAGTTGCCAAGGTTGAGAACCCCTGCCTTAGAATAAAGCAGATTTAGCACATCTGGCCGTGTTTCCTGTCTGGTCTACCTGGGAAGGTGACAGGATGTGGAGAGGGAACCCCGATATACCAACAGCAGCTCGGTCTTGCTTCGATCCCACTTTCATCTATTCTCCCCGGTCTGGACCTTCCAGCCTTTGAGGACCAGGTAAGGACTTTGAGGGCGTCTCCTGCATAGCTTAGTTGTGATGGGGAGGGGGGGGAGATATAAACTCAAGATATTGCACCCCAAAGTAACAGATGACCTCCCCCTGCTGTTTCTTATATGTCTTAAAAAACAGGAGAAAGAGTACTACTCTTTCCAACACCCTACACGTCAAAGACCACTAGTCTCAACGTCTTTTTTGTAACGTGGTGACCAAAACTGGATGCAGCATTCCAGGTGTGTCCTTACTAAGGGTTTTTTGTGTGTGTCTTCAGACAACGCTGGCTCCCTCGGCTAAGAAACACAGTGGAGCAACACCCCCTTAAAGTTAAGCTATTTTCCAAGGCGCCTGAAGGCAGGACAAGAAGCAATGGGTGGAAACTAACCAAGGAGAGAAGCAACCTAGAACTAAGGAGAAACTTCCTGACAGTGAGAACAATTAACCAGTGGAACTACCTGCCTCCAGAAGCGGTGAATGCTCCAACACTGGAAGTTTTTAAGAAGAGACTGGACAGCCATCTGTCTGAAATGGTGTAGGGTTTCCTGCCTGAGCAGAGGGTTGGACTAGATGACCTCCAAGGTCCCTTCCAACTTTATTTATTATTATTATTATTATTATTATTATTATTATTATTATTATTATTATTATTATTATTATTATTATTATTATTACTGGACAGTGGAAAACTTTGCCTTTCTTTTTATAGCAATACAAAATGACTCAGAAAAAAAGCGTACAAAAATTATTTTATTAATATTGCTAATTCAGTTATTTACATTTTCAGGTGTGGGTTATTTGTTTTTAAACAGACGTCTTCTAGGAACAATTTCATTACTAAGAGAAAATAGAGACTCTCAAGATCCAGATTAAACTCTCTTCGTGAATCGCCCGGAGTCACCGAGGGTGAGTTGGGCGACCATATAGATTTTCTTAAATGAATAAACAGAGCTGGAGCTGGAGGCAAAGCCGAGGTCCTTCACAGGCCCAGATAAACGTTTTTTGTAGATGTTTTGTAGATGTTTTCATCCAACCGTTTTTTTCCAAGGAGAAGGTGTGAGAAGACAGCTCTCTCTGAAGTTCTCCCTCAAAACCGTGACTCTATTCTCACAAACGTGTGAATCTGAGCGGCTAAATCATTAGCTCCTCCAGCATCATTTCCTGAAGCCAGCAGGGAAAAAGTCTTCAGCCACTCAAAATATTGGAAATGATAGTTGAACTGGTTCGATTTGAGATCTCTGGACCCTCGGACCGCTTCTGGAGGAGTGAAGACACTCTGGAATTGAGCAAGGCCTTCCCTGAATTTATAGGACTGGAGGTCTCTTCACGTCCCGCTGAAGTCCCTGCTTGGGGCTTGGCTTTCACCTGCACAGGTGAGAACCGATAGCTGATAGCGCAGAGGAATGTACGTGTCCCTACGACGAGTTTACTTCTTTCTTACCCCAATAAAGAACCAAAAACCGAAGGTAGTTTATCCTTACCTTACCTTACCTTACCTTATCTTATCTTATCTTATCTTTGTGTCTCATCTCATCTCATCTCATCTCATCTCATCTCATCTCATCTCATCTCATCTCATCTCATCTCATCTCATCTCATCTCATCTATAATAATAATAATGATAAAGTTGGAAGGGACCTTGGAGGTCATCTAGTCCAACCCCCTGCTCAGGCAGGAAACCCTATACCATTTCGGACAAATGGCTGTCCAGTTTCTTCTTAAAAACTTCCAGTGTTGGCGCATTCACCGCCTCCAGAAGCGGGTCCTGGAGAGTCCACGGCACCGGCCCCCTGGATGTTGTCGCGGGTGGTGGTGGTGGTGGAAACTGTGGCGTTCACACCTCGCAGATGCAGTGACCGTTCTGCCCAGGCGGGGCCTCCTCCATGCCTTGCCCCACGGGGTCCTGAGGAGGGGGAGAGGCGGTCTCTGTCCAGACCAGCCTCTCGTTCATGGGGTCCTTTGGGGGGGGGAGAGAAAGGAGAAAGTGAACGGAAGCCAGCCGCCTCCCTCGGGGCTCCGGGAGCTTCTGCTCTCGTGCGTTTTTGGGGTTTACCTTTGGGGCGAACTCCTTCCGGAAGACGTGAGCTATGATTCCCGCGGCCAGCGCGTCACCCAGGACGTTGGTCATGGTGCGCAAGCGGTCCCTGGGGAGGGAAGTGCAGAGAAATCAGTGGGGGATTCCCTCCCTCGCAGGGGATCCCATCAGGCAGGGAACTGATCCCAAAGGGCCCCCTTCAGAAGGACTCCGTGAGGGAACATCTGGAGTTCCCACATCCACTCGGGATGTTCTCCCAGAGGCTCCGATGCTGGTTCCTGCCAGGCTGGGCATCAGCCGAGCTCAGGCCGAGGGGACTGTGAGGGACGGTCCAGAAACAATAAATAAATCAAGATGGCCCATAAAAACCAGCCAGAGCTCCATTCACACGCTCGTGGCTGCCATCTTGTGTTTTTTTAAACCAGAGCTTGTGGGCACCTTTGGCTCAGTCAGAAACCTCCCCCGTCCCCCCCCCCATTGCTTCCAAATCTACCCTGTATCCTTAACAGGGGCTTCTGCAAAACCATGCAAAACCCACACAAAGCACACAGACACACACAGACACACACACACACACAGAGAATCAAAGCAGGCAGCTCTGCAATGTTGGTTGCCGGCAAAGGAAGGGAAGCTGGTCAAGATGACTCCCTGTCCTTTTGGCCCAAAGACCCCCTCAAAGACCCCCCCCCACTGGGGAGGGCGCAGCAGGATGGAAGCAGATTTATTGAACGGTGTTCCCGCCTTTTGGGGGGGCAAACACAGAGATCTGTTTAAAGAGCAGATGTGTATCAATTAATCAAGATATTCTGTGGAGTTGGTGCTGAACGGTGGGGGGATGAATCCAGCCCCTTCTTGCAGGGTCCATCCTTGCTAGAAAAAGAGCATCTGTAGGAATTAAGCATTTGGGGGGCGGGGGGTGTATGCAAAGCTTTGGATCCGGACTTTGACGCACATGGTGGAAGCCAGCCAGAGACTTTTGTTAGGAGATGGGCAGCAAATAAATTCAATAAATAAGTAAGTAAGTAGATAAATAAATGCAGAGTGGGGGGAAAGAAAAAGAAAGAAAGAAAAAAATAAAAAAGAAAGAAAAAATAAAAAAGGAGAAAAGAGAAAGAAAGAAAGAAAGAAAGAAAGAAAGAAAGGAGAAAGTAGAAAAGAGGAAGGAAGGAAGGAAGAAAGAAAGGAAAAAGGAAAAAGGAAAAAAGAAAAAGGAGAAAAGAGAAAGAAAGAAAGAAAGAAAGAAAGAAAGAGAAGAAAGAAGGAAGGAAGGAAGGGAAGAAAGACAGAAAGAAAAAAGAAAGGAAGGAAGAAAGAAAGAAAAGAAAGTAATAAGAAAGAAGGAGAAAAGGAAGGAAGGAAGGAAGGAAGAAGAGTAGAAAGAAAGAAAAGGAGAAAGAGAAAGAAAGAAAGAAAGAAAGAAAGAAAAAAAGACAAAGAAAAAAAAGGAAGGAAGAAAGAAGAAAGAAAGAAAGGAATAAGAAAGGAGAAAGAGAAAAGGAAGGAAGGAAGGAAGGAAGAAGAGTAGAAAGAAAGAAAGAAAGAAAGAAAAAAAAGACAGAAAGAAAAAAGAAAGGAAGGAAGAAGAAAGAAAAGAAAGGAATAAGAAAGGAGAAAGAGAAAAGGAAGGAAGGAAGGAAGAAGAGTAGAAAGAAAGAGAGGAAGAAAGAAAGAAAGAAAGAAAAAGAAAAAGAAAGAAAAAAGAAAAATAAAGAAAGTTCTTGGTTCTTTTACTTGCAGACGTTTCATCGCCCAACAACTTGTGGACATCCCCAGTGTGGACTCTGCCACCCATTTACACTGATGACGTTACCTAGTTGGGTCACGGAACGCCTGTGAGCCGACGCCCGGCTCAGAGAGCGCGCACATCCCTTGTCCTTCCACCCGGGGGGGGGGTGTCTGTCCGAGAGGAGCAGCCGGAAGGGGAAGGGGGGGACACTCACAGGGCCCAGTCAATGGCGATGATCAGCGTGATGTCCTCAGTGGGGAGGCCGACGGAGGTGAGCACGATGACCATGGTGACCAGGCCCGACTGGGGGATCCCGGCGGCCCCGATGCTGGCGGCCGTGGCGGTGATGCTGTGGGGGGTAGAGAGAAAGCAGAGGGCAGCCGTGCCAGGGGGAGCCCCCCAGCACCCCTGCTCGGACCCCTGCCTCGAAGCCCAGCCAAGGAAAGCTCAGCCCTCGCCTAGGCCAGGGGTCTTCCAACTTGGCCCTTTGATGACTTGTGGACTTCAACTCCCAGAATTCCTCAGCCAGGCACGTGTGCCTGGCTGAGGAATTCTGGGAGTTGAAGTCCACAAGTCATCAAAGGGCCAAGTTGGAAGACCCCTGGCCTAGGCAGTCGGCCAAGCCACAGCTGACTGACGTGTCCGTAACACCATCACCCCAAAGATCCCTCCGCTGTTTCTGGTTAGCTCTGGGGGGGAGGGGTCTTCTCTCTTCTTCTCCCAGTTAAGCCTGCCAGCATCTTCACCCCTAACTAGTGTCCGTGGGGACCCCGATTTACATCGAATCACATTATCTGAACTCCTAAGCCTGGGTAACCAGACACAGTGGCCATCAGCGGTGTTTGCGGATGGGGTACAAATCGCCGAGGGGTGGCATTGCAGTAGAATCACCGCAGTTGTTAAGTTGGTAACATGGGTCTGATAGTGGGAGTAGAAAGACACCCCAGCTTAGCGTCCGTTTGGAGGAGGAGGAGGAAACATTTGAGGCCCAATCCTTAGGTCTGCATCTGCTGTTTCCCAAGGGAAGGCGGACAATCTGGAGAGATTCTTGTAATAGAGGCGATCAACAATAAAGAGATTTTCCATTCTTGGAGTTGTTCTCGTTGCTGGTTCCTGAGAGGTCCCCCCTCCACTTTAGCTCACAATGTCCAGCACGCAGTGGGAACCTGGCCACCTAATCCTCTTCACCTTGCCCCTTTACATGAAGCTGGAGGATCCTGGTTTGGACACAGCCACGATGACTGACCGCAGCTAAACATGGCGGCAACGTCTGAACTGCCAAAGGGTCGAGCTGGCTGCTGGACAGAGGAGAATCCGAGCCTTACCTGATGGTGATGAGCTGTCCCAGGTCGAGGTCGTACTCGTTCACCTGGGCGATGAAGATGGCGGCCACCGCCTCGTAGAGAGCCGTCCCGTCCATGTTGATCGTGGCTCCGACCGGGAGGATGAAGCGGACGATCCGTTTGTCGATCCGGTTGTTCTCCAGAAGACACCGCAGGGTGATGGGCAGCGTGGCTGAGCTGGGAGAGACGGGGGCTGCTTATTAGAGGAAGCCCACTCCCCCAGCACGGAGAGAGAGGGTGGGGGGGGGAGGCACACAACAGAAACAACCAGGGAGGAGAAGAGGCAGTGTCGTCAACACAACTGCGCAGGCAGAAGGCAGCTCGGAAAATCTCTGTGTGTATCCACCCTCCATCCTCAAGATACCAAACCCTGATGCTTCCTAGGATGTTCAGATGCCTTGAAGACATGGGAACGAATTGTGGGGAAGTCCCCTGGCATGAAGTGGAAAGCCAAAAGTTACACCCCTACACACACACACACACCTCACCCCCCCGCTTGAAACTCCTCTGCAAGAGCTTCAAGGGGTTTGGAAGGACCAATGTCTAGCTTAATGAAAAGAAGGACGAGGGGGGACATGATAGCGCGATTCCAATGTTTGAGGGGCTGCCACAAAGAAGAGGGGGAGGGGTCAACCTATCCTCCAAAGCACCTGCGGGCACAAGAAGCAGCGGATGGAAACCAATCAAGGAGAGAAGCAACCTGGAATATAAGGAGAAACTTTCTGACAGTGAGGACAATTAACCAGAAGAACAGAAGCTGCCTCCAGAAGTTGTCGGTGCTCCATCACTGGAGTCTTTTAAGAAGAGACTGGACAACCATTTGGAAAAACTGGGTAGAGCAGTGGTTCTCAACCTGTGGGTCGGGACCCCATTTGGGGTCGATCGACCATTTCATGGGGGTCGCCAAGCAAGGCTGTCCGCCATTTTTTTTGTCCGCCATTTTTTTCCCCCTTTTCCGGCGGGTGCCTTACCTCCCTTGGGCTGGGCCAGCTGGTGGTCGGCCTGCTCCGTCTCTGCCGCTTGCCAGCTACGCNTGCACAGGGATGCTGCTCAAATGAAGAAAGAATGGGGTTATTTCTTGGTTTTTGGCTTCCATCAAATAGGAATGGAATGGAATGGAATGGAATAGAATAGAATAGAATAGAAACACAGAGTAGAGTAGAGTAGAGTAGAGTAGAGTAGAGTAGAGTAGAGTAGAGTAGAGTAGAGTAGAGTAGAGTAGAGTAGAGTAGAGTAGAGTAGAATAATAATAATAATGATAAAGTTGGAAGGGACCTTGGAGGTCATCTAGTCCAACCCCCTGCTCAGGCAGGAAACCCTAGACCATTTCGGACAAATGGCTGTCCAGTTTCTTCTTAAAAACTTCCAGTGTTGGCGCATTCACCGCCTCCAGAAGCGGGTCCCGGAGAGTCCACGGCACCGGCCCCCTGGATGTTGTCGCGGGTGGTGGTGGTGGTGGAAACTGTGGCGTTCACACCTCGCAGATGCAGTGACCGTTCTGCCCAGGCGGGGCCTCCTCCATGCCTTGCCCCACGGGGTCCTGAGGAGGGGGAGAGGCGGTCTCTGTCCAGACCAGCCTCTCGTTCATGGGGTCCTTTGGGGGGGGAGAGAAAGGAGAAAGTGAACGGAAGCCAGCCGCCTCCCTCGGGGCTCCGGGAGCTTCTGCTCTCGTGCGTTTTTGGGGTTTACCTTTGGGGCGAACTCCTTCCGGAAGACGTGAGCTATGATTCCCGCGGCCAGCGCGTCACCCAGGACGTTGGTCATGGTGCGCAAGCGGTCCCTGGGGAGGGAAGTGCAGAGAAATCAGCGGGGGATCCCTCCCTCGCAGGGGATCCCAGCAGGCAGGGAACTGATCCCAAAGGGCCCCCTTCAGAAGGACTCCGTGAGGGAACATCTGGAGTTCCCACATCCACTCGGGATGTTCTCCCAGAGGCTCCGATGCTGGTTCCTGCCAGGCTGGGCATCAGCCGAGCTCAGGCCGAGGGGACTGTGAGGGACGGTCCAGAAACAATAAATAAATCAAGATGGCCCATAAAAACCAGCCAGAGCTCCATTCGCACGCTCGTGGCTGCCATCTTGTGTTTTTTTAAACCAGAGCTTGTGGGCACCTTTGGCTCAGTCAGAAACCTCCCCCGTCCCCCCCCATTGCTTCCAAATCTACCCTGTATCCTTAACAGGGGCTTCTGCAAAACCATGCAAAACCCACACAAAACACACAGAGACACACACACAGACACACACACAGAGAATCAAAGCAGGCAGCTCTGCAATGTTGGTTGCAGGCAAAGGAAGGGAAGCTGGCCAAGATGACTCCCTGTCCTTTTGGCCCAAAGACCCCCTCAAAGACGCCCCACTGGGGAGGGCGCAGCAGGATGGAAGCAGATTTATTGAACGGCGTTCCCGGGACCCCTTTTTTGGGGGCAAACGTGTTAAGAGCAGAGATGTGAGCTGTTTAAAGAGCAGATGTGTATCAATTAATCAAGATATTCTGTGGAGTTGGTGCTGAACGGGGGGGGGATGACTCCAGCCCCTTCTTGCAGGGTCCACCCTTGCTAGAAAAAGAGCATCTGTACGAATTAAGCATTTTTTTGGGGGGTGTATGCAAAGCTTTGGATCCAGACTTTGACGCACATGGTGGAAGCCACCCGGAGACCTTTGTTAGGAGATGGGCAGCAAATAAATTCAATAAATAAATAAGTACGTAAGTAGATAAATAAATGCAGAGTGGGGGGAAAGAAAGAAAAAAGAAAGAAAAAAAGAAAAAAGAAAGAAAAAAGAAAAAAGGAGAAAAGAGAAAGAAAGAAAGAAAGAAGAAAGGAGAAAGTAGAAAAGAGGAAGGAAGGAAGGAAGGAAGGAAGGAAGGAAGGAAGGAAGAAAAAAGGAAAAAGGAAAAAGGAGAAAAGAAAGGAAGGAATAGAGAGAAAAAGAAAGAAAGAAAGAAAGAAAAAGAAAAAAGAAGGAAGGAAGGGAAGAAAGACAGAAAGAAAAAAGAAAGGAAGGAAGAAAGAAAAAAAAGTAATAAGAAAGAAGGAGAAAAGGAAGGAAGGAAGGAAGGAAGAAGAG